AGATAAGGTTCCTCAACTTCCTATGCCAAGACACATTTCCGTCAGAGCATCTTAGCACCTTTGGTCCAGGTTTTGACCTCACTGACTCTCCTTCAAATGAAGATGGGTGACGGTGAGGTTGGGAGGGGAGACTGTGTGCCTCATTTCTGTTCTTATATCTTAGTGGCCTGGACTTTCCTCTTCAACTGGAGTTAGAATTCAAGCTCTTGTTTTAAGTTTCTCATGAAGCACAAGTTTTTAGATTATTTTGTAGCTACATTGCTGGAAGTGCTCATCGTACTTTGTTAACTGAGTGACTAAATCTTAACTGTCATCTTGCGTGCTTGTGTGTAATATTTGAATCCTGCTTTCCAGCACTGTGTATCTGGCTTGTGTGTAAGCTTGCCCTATGAATGATTGCCTTGTTCAGGGATTCGTTTATTCTTCCAACAGATATTTATTAAATAGTAATTGAGGTGAAATATGCCAGATGTACATTAATGCAAAGATGAAGGATGTTTTTTGTTTTCTTTTAGAAAATTTGGGTCTTTAACATCAAACTTAAAGATCATTAAGGAATAGTAATATAAAAAGTGAGAAAACGCCACTTTGTTGGAGATGTTGGGCAGAGAACCTTCTAGAACCCAGATCTTCATCAGAACCTATTCTTTTGAAAATTCTGTCATAATGAGTTAAACTTTGTTCCTATAAAAGCAAAGATAATCACTTAATAGTGTACCAGAAATAGTTTTAAGAGGCAACTCCGTTTTTTATTAAACTTTTGTCATAAACAATTTAGTGTCAGTTATACTCAGCATTTTAATGACTAATTATAAAGACAGTATTAAAATCTTGAACAAATCTCATTTTCTTAGATTAGAAAAAAGTAAAGTCACGTGGTAGGAGTAGGCTTGCTTTCTTTCATGTATGTGTACCAGGTGCTCACACTTTTGGGACTCCCGTGAATGGCAGGAAGTGTAGCTTTAATTGTTATTTAAAATAAATGTTAAAGGAAGACAGGCTGTCTTAAATGTGGAAGAGTCTAAGAATGTTATCTCAAGGGTTTGATTTACCTTGATGAACTTGTCGTTGCTGTGGCCTTGTTTCTCTTTGCTATTACTGTGTGTACACTTGCCAGAGTGTGTGTGGCAGATAATTTTGAGGGTTGGCTTTTCTCCTTCTACCTTTAATGGGTTCCTAGGGTTGACCTTAAATATCTAGGCTTGTGTGGCTTACATTTCCACACTGAGCCATCTCACCTGCCTCAATTTTTGTATTTCTTACTTGTAATGACCCATTTGGCTATTTAAACTGTAAGATATTTTCTTCCTGAAGCAAATACAGTATTTTTAAAATTATGGGATACCATTTTACATCAATTCCATTAAAAGCTGAAAGTGGTTTCCTCAACTCCAGATGGCCTGACAGTATTTGAGTCAGACTGGGAATCATGGGATTTGCAGACTTCATTGAAGATAATGCAAATGCTGCTAGCACAAAGCAGTCATAATTGCAGTAGAAATCATTCTATAAAAGAGCATTTCATATTTTGGTCTGACTTCACAGATAATCAACATTTTAGTTGGTCAGTGAATGGTATATATTTATTATTAAACACATAAATAAGGGGTGAGGCTGACAGTTAATGTTGTCAAAGAATAAAAACCAGTAGTACAAAGTAAATGTTTTCTGTATATACTTCAAACTAGGATAAACTGTGTAATTCTGCAGCTAAGGGAGAGGTAACAAACCTTATTAGATTCAAGTCTGAATTCAGAGTGATGAAAGCTTGACTTGGAGTTGATGAGTCAAGAGGCAGCAGCACAGTAGGTATCTGGCAAACCCATCAATGACCTCTGACCCCAGCAGTAAGTCTCTGCAAGTCCTGTTCCCTAGTGAAAGTATTAGAGAGTAGTGTCATCACAGGGTGTGTATATAGACCAGGTGCTAAGGGAAATATAGTTTAGTTATATGCAGAGGCAGTAATATGCAGCTGTGCGTTGAGATTGATTGATAGGGAATTTTCCTGTCAACTTTAACTCCGTGTTTATTTATTAAAGGGAAAAAGAAAAACTGGTTTGATATTGGAAGTACCCTTGAAAAGATGGCAGTTAGGAAGCTAAATGGTTGATTCTACAGTTTGATGGTCTAGTTTGTGAACTCAATCAAGGATCTAAGTCTACACCTTTCAAAGTTTCCTGTTGGGGGCTGATACTGTTTGTTGGAAAAAACCCAGAAGACAGAATGAATATCTTCAGATGTAGAAAAGAGAGTAAGTTTAAATTAGTGAACTTAACTAAGAAAATAGTTACTGTGATATTTGTAGTCATGGATGTGTGTGCTGCTTTTATCCCTAGTAAAATGAGGTAAACTAAGATATGTTTTTTTTCTGATTTAATATCTTGAGATGCATATCAAAAGAGTAAACCCATGTTTCTTTTAGTTCCCACATATTGGATTTTAATAAACTCCATTTTCATGAAATACTTTTATGACAAAAATTGTCAAAGCCAGGCAGGAGGCAGGAGGTTACCATGGGTTTAAGGCCAGCCTAGGTTCTATAGTAAGTTCTAGACCAATCTGGATTACACAGTAAGAAAGTATTTTCAAAACACCATGAGCATGCTCGTGCACATGCATGCACACACACACAGATTGGAAGCAAGTAAAGAAAATTTTATTCAAATGTTTATTTCTAGTCTATATTACCTTAATTCACTAAATGGTAATAAAAGTGTATATATCTAACATGTAGGTTAAAGATACAATTCTTTTTACAATTAAAATCTTTTAACACTAGAGGGCTCTCTAGATTTATGAATTCTTGTTACATGCCACACAGAGTAGGAAATTATTTGAAACCATTTTGTTACAAAATGAGTGGTCTACCAGAGAAAACCAGAGGCCACCGTAGGCTCTGTAGGCACCGTAGGCTCTGTAGGCACCGTAAGCTCTAGACCAGTCTGGTTTGCAGAGTAAGACGCCGTCCAACCCACTCCCCTCCCGTAAAATTGAAAGACGGCAAAGAAAGAAAACCCAATTCAAATGCATTAACGTATAATTAATCATAAAGCTGGATTTTAAAATACTTGCTTATTGAGACTGACTCTCACTGTGTAGCCCAGGCTGGCCTGCGTCAGCTCAGGCTGGTCTCAGGCTTGTAATCTGTTACCTTTGCCTCCTAGGGTCTGGGTTACCGGTGTGTATCGCTGTGCCCAGCACACACTGTTTTTTAGTTTAGCAGAGCAGATCTCCGCCTCGCCTTAGCAGTGGTAATGTAAGGATAATGAAGCCAGGGCAGTCAGATAGTGTGAGCTACAAGGAATTTTCATGCTATTGATTTGATTTTTATACTGATTTTGTAAATAGTTTCTAAATCCTATTAATTCAAATATATTTATTTAAGAAGTTGTAGAATGATGTTCTGTTCCTTGAAAGTGCTAAGGTTAATCAGAAGAAGTGAAGATAATTTAGCATGTGCTTGACAGCTGCTGTCACTAGTTATAGTTTTGAAGCATTTGAAAGCCCAGGAGCATGTTTGGTACATCTAGGAAGCAGATTCTTATTCCTTGCATTTTAGGGTTTTCATGATGCTCATCAGATATACTCTGATTGCCAGCAGTGTATTTAAACACTTTTTGTCTTTTTCTCCCCCCACCCCCTAGTTAGAAGACTGTTGCATTTAACTGTGTTGTTTAAGTAGATAGTGAAAAAGTTTGCATCCTTATTGCATTGTTACAGGAATGTAAACATGCATATGTAAATGCATGTTAGCTCAGTTTTCTCCACCACAGCTCTGTGAAGTAGATACTATGGTTGTCCATGTTATACATGAGGACACAGTACAGAAAAGTTGGTTTGCTGCATTTGTATGTAGACCATAAGCAGTCTTCTTTCAGAGCTCATAATTTTCTGGGGAGGTAGAGGGGATCTGGACTGGGAGCGTTCTACTGAGCTATACCACAGCCTTCCCTCGCCCCACTAGTAAGTAGTGATCCGTCCTTGAGTTTGTGCTCATCCTGCCTCAGACTCCTGCCTAGCTGGGATCTCTAGAGCCCGTAGAACCTGAGCTTTGTAGAGAAAGGGATTAGATTTGGTGGATGATCATCGACATTGCAGACTCAGTTTATATGCCAAATGGTGTGGAATACCCATCTTACAGTTTGTTTTATGAAAAAAAGTAGGCATTTAAATTTGGAAAGGGACTTTAAGTGGTTTTACAGAAAAGAAGAAATTATGGTGTGTTATTTAGGAACGATGGTAAAATCTCAAGTGCATATTCTAATTTTAGTAAAGTAGAAAGAAATAATGTTGTTAATGGAAAGACTATTTGGCTGGCGTTTTAGATGCCTGGAGTCATGTTCCCCCTCCTCACTTGCCTGCTAGTGTCCCCAGAGGCTGTTCTTTTTGTTATATGAGAATAGAAATAGTAGTGGCATTTTTGTCCCTCTGCGAGTAGTGTTTTCTCCTCACTTTGCAGTGTTTGCAGTGGGGTAATGGATTGAGGATACTCAACAAACCTTAAAGTCCTACACAAATCAACATACCATGTATTGTTTTCTTTTTTTTTTTGTGACTTATCCTATAATATTTTTAAATGTTTGTGGTATTTGGTAGAGGAATAATGGCAAGTTACTTTGGTATTGTTAATCTGAAGGTGACATCTGAACCTTGAAAACATCACTGAGTTGGGGGATGTAGTACTTTTTTTTATTTTAAATAATTTTTATTTAGTTAAAACTAAAAATACTGTAGTCTGCTTTTTTCCCCTTACAGTATTCACTTAGTGAATGAAGTGACACTTTTATTTCACTTGTGAAGACTGCAATGGTAGCAAGCACTGACACATTTCCTACTTCTGATGCTTTGAACACAGTGGCGTAGCTGAAATAAAGAGAGAAGCAAAGTTATAACCTTTCTATAGTACAGCAGTGGGCACAGCAGCTGTTTTCCCGAATTTAGAGGAAGACACACATTTTAATTTCTTTTTTTTTCTGTCTTTTTTTTTTTTTCTTAAACAGGGATAATGTATTTGTGGCCTTGGACATGAAGTAATCAGACTCTGTTGCTGTTAATGTAGGACCAGGGACTGGTGAGGGAAGCATGGACCTAATGAACGGGCAGGCAAGCAGTGTTAATATCGCAGCCGCTGTCTCCGAGGTAAGGCGCGTGGTGACTCGTTCTACCCTTTGAAGCCTTATGGTTCGTTACACTGTAAATCAATATGAGCAAAGGACTAGACCACGTCTGCGGCTCGTCTTTTCAGTTTCTCTTTCTTACTCATTTCTGTCATTTCTTAGGCAGAGTAAAAGATTTTATTATTATTTCTTTGAACTTTGCTCATATTTGTCCCCCTCCTCTCCTGCTTGCTAGTCTCCTTTCACCTCACAAATAGTCCCCTTTAGCTTTGATCACACGTATCTAGGTTCTATATATATGAGAAAGACATGCAGTAGTTTGTCTTTCTTCTCTCCCATTGTCTTCTATTATATTCTCATTCTCTCTCTCTCTCTCTCACTTTCAAAAGGGTTTCTCTGTGTAGCCCTTGCTGTCCTGGAACTTGATCTGTAGACTAGGCTGGCTTTGAACTCAGATTGGCCTGCCTCTGCCTCCCAAGTGCCAGGCTTAAAGGTGTGACCACCACCCTGTCTGGCTCTCCCTTCTTTTTATAGACAGCTCACTCACACTTAGCCCCCACTCTACCACTCTACCTTCATGTTGTGTATAGATACATGTGTATTTATATTTAGGTATAGATTCTTCATAATCATTGAAGAGTGTGCAGTATTTGTTTTTCTGAGGACTATTGTTTGTGTGTGTGGTGTATGCACAGGAGTGCAGACTCTCCTGCCTGAGTGTGTGCACGTGAAGGCTGGGGCAGGACATTGGGTGGTTTTTTCCTACCACCCTTTGCCGTACTGTTATAAAGACATGACTGGGTTACAAGCATGTATAACCCTGCCTGGTGTTTTATCTGTTGGCTGGGCAGTCAGACTCAGGACCTCATGCTTGGAGAGCAAGCTGAGCTATCGTACACACAAAGCCATTACTAGAGTTGTTTGTTTGTTTATTAATTTGTTTTGAAACAGGGTCGCACTGTATAGCTCTAGCCAGCCCAGGAGTCACTTTATAGACCAGGCTGTCTGTAAACTCACAGAGATTTGTCTACCTCTTGAGTGCTAGGATTAAAGGGCATGAGCCACCATGCCTGACTTTTTTTTTTTTAATTAAAATTTGTCATTAATATATTAATTGCACCCTACAAGTACTTTATCTACTTAAGATACTTGAAAATAATAATAATGATTGCATAAAACTCTTTACTGGGTTAGTATTAAAAGAAACTGTTTGGGGATGTTCTTCTGGTACACGGCCCTTTAGGGTACCTTTGAGACCGTGACTTCAAAATTGTTGGAGGTCAGGGCTACCATGCAGGAAATGATAGTTTGCTTTGCTGGTGTAGCTTAGAGTGGGAATGGGTGTTACAGCTGACCCAGGAAGTCACTTCTTGTATTCATGTGTTGTGATTTTATTTCTTCCTCACCATTTTATTTTATTTTATTGCTTTGTATATAAATCTCAAGTACCTTCCTTAATAATTTTAGCATTTCCTACTCTTTTAGTTTTTCTTACTGTTTAATTCTTTAATCCCCTGACCTTAGGGATCTTAACAGTCTTGACAACCCTTTTTCTGACATCTGTGAATAGCAGAACAGTTCCATAGCTTCCTGTTTGAACTTACAGATTTTTGCTGTTGTTGTTTGTTTACTTGAGTTGCTTTGGGCACTACACCCTTTTCTCACAACAGGGAGTCTGCCAGCAAACTCAAAATAATAATGTTGGTGTGTAATCACATGTGATGTAAACATGACAGAATATCCCTTTTTTGCATATCCTCTTCGTTAGAAGCAAGTCATAGATCCTGCCTACACTGAAGGGGTGAAAATTACCCATGAATGCTTTGTTTTAAGATGCCACATCTTATTGAGCCCAGGCTCACCTCAAGCCAGTGTGTAGCCAACAATCTTTCTGCCTCTGTTCCCAAATGCTTGGATTACAGTCATATGTTGCCATGCCTGCCCTCACATTCTGTTTTTTCCCCCCTGACTTATTTAACCTAGGTTTGATAGTAACTAGTACTCTTTCCTTGCAGGATTTATTTGTGTGTGTGAGTGTGTGTGTGTGTGTGTGTGTGTGTATTCCACATGAGTCCAAATACCCTTGGAGGACAGAAGAGGGTGTCATGTCACCTGGAGCTGAGGTTATGTGTGGGGTAAGCCTGCCCACATAGGTGCTGGGATCTGAACTCTGTTCCCTGGAAGAGCAGGAAGCTCTCTTAATTGCTGAGATAGCTCTCCAGCCCCTAATTAATACTTTAAAATACAGTTCTTGGGATTTTCATAAACGGCTGGTGGTTCTTTGATGTGTTCTACTCAACTTTAGATGCTCCCACAGCCGGCCTTTCATCCAGAACTTGCCTTAATCCCCTCCTTGGTATACCCCTTACCTGTTTGTGTGTGTTCTGGTGATCTCGTGTGTAGGACAGTGGATGTGGTGGTTATTATCCTCTGTTGTTCTCTGTTTTTGTTTTCATTCAAGGTTTGTCTTAGTTTGCTTTCTGTGCTATGATAAACCACTTACTAAAACCAACCTGGGATGGAAAGGGTTTATTTGGTTTATAGGTAATGATCTATCTTTGAGGGAAGAGAAGATAGGACTTTCAAGGAGAAACTGTGGAAGAATGCTGTTCCCATTGGCCTAGCTCATTTTGACTTCTTAGACAGTCCAGACCACTTGAAATATGGCTACAACATAACTAGTAAACACAAACCTGTCTAGGGATAGTGCCAGTCCTGTGGGCCCTCCCCCATAAATCACCAGTTAAAACAATTCCCCACAAACATGCCCATATCTGATAGGCAATTCCTTAATTGAGGTTCCCTGTTCCCAGATGACTCTAGTTTGTGTCAAGTTAGACACTAAAAGCTAACCAGTGTAGGGTTTTTCATTGTACCCAGAGCTCACAGTTCAGTTGGACTGGCTGGCCAGCAGGCTCCTCTTGTCTCCATGCCCCAGTGATGGGTGGCAGGTATTTCCTTGGCACTTAGGACCTATGCTCAGGCCCTCATGCTTGCACAGCCAGTTAGCTGCTGAGGCATCGGCCCAGCCCTACAGAATTTCCTTCTAATGGACTTAATTCTCATTAGTACTTTGTTTGAAAGTTAACAATTTTGTTGATATTTAATAAGCATATTGATACATCTTTTAGTAATGCTGCTGTTAATCCTAAACAGCTGTATAACCAGATCACCACACAGAGACTGGATTTATTTAGTTAAACCTAGAACACAATGCTGGGCAATAGTTACTCCATCCTAAACTTACTCCAAGTCCTCATAGTTTCCTAACATTTAGATTTCCCACATTATACTTGCTTTTTGTGAATTCTTAGGTCTGGTTCATTCTCCACGTAGTTCCAAGACCTCTCCTCCAGCCTGTTCTCCCAGCTCTCTCCTGCCTTTCTTCCACTCCTACCTCTCCTCTGGCTCCTTCCCTCTCCCACCTACTCCTTCCTCTCCATTGTCAACATTGTGGCTGGTTGTTTTATTTTGGCATGTTTACACAAAGTTGAGACAGATGATGCTTAGAATAAGTATCATAATGCAGTGTCCAGACTGAAACCAGAGAGTAGGGGAGAGAAATCAGCATTTGAATGAACGAGGGTAAGGTGTATATATTTCAAAAGAACATTATACCAGCAGTACTTTAACAAATCCTTTTCCAGTCTTATAAACAGATGGGAGTTATTTTTGAAACTGTAACTTAAAAAAACAACTTAACATTTTCGTATATATATTTGTTCATAGCTTTTCCTCCTTAAGGCAGATTGTTTGTGTGTTTACTAGTTATGTTGTATCCATATTTTTAAAATGTGAGTATGTGCTTAGTACTTTGTAATTGTATCCAGAGACCTGCTCTAGACAGGCTGGAAGCAGTGCACAAATATTTATCAAGTAGAATATATCATTTCACTTGCACAAAAAATTGTTTCTTCTCTTAAAAGTAAGTGAATTATGTTAGGCTTCAGAGTAATAAATATACTTTATTGTATGAGAAGTAAGGTCAAAGAGGTTTACCTTTTAAACAGTTAAGACAATAAAGTTAAAGATTTGTTTATTTATTAGTTTACAGTGTTCTGCCTGACTGCCAGAAGAGGGCACCAGATCTCATTACAGATGGTTATGAGCCACCATATGGTTGCTGGGAATTGAACTCGACCTCTGGAAGAGCAGCCAGTGCTCTTTTTAACCTCTGAGCCATTTTCCAGCCCTGACAATAAAGTGAAAAACATGTATTTTCTACTTCATTGTATGCTTTAGATTTGTTAACATATCAGTGCAGATTTCCTTAAAAAGTGATAAGTTTATGGATAAAATACTTAACCTGAATCAACTGGCTTTCTTAAATACCTTCTGTGGCTTTTAGGCCACTAATTGGTCAGTTTGTTATATTTAAATTCAGCTTCATTCGCGTTCTCAGCACTCAGGCAGAATGCAGCCCTATTCTTGGCAAAAGTATCACACACTCTCCTAGCCCATTTTCCAACCTGTCTTTCTGAGGTCACATGGTCCGGGCCTCCACCCTTTTGTTTCTGTAAGCGTTCTTCTCTAATTAGCCTCCATGAGAACAGCCCATTAGTTCTGGTGACAGTGTTCAATGGTTTTTTCCAGCCCAAAGTTTCAAACTCTTCACATTCCGCCTACAACACGGTTACAAAATCCTAAAAGCCACATAATCAGGTTTATTACAGCATCGGGCCTACTTCTGGAACTGTTTTCTATCCTAATTCATTTCCTGTTGCTGTGATGAAATACCTGTACAGGAGCAGGGTGAGGGATGACAGCCTGCCACTGTGGGGAAGTCAAGGCTGTGGAAACTTGAAGCAGCTAGTCACATTACCTCTCTGATCAGGTGAATAAATACACTTAGGCTGTTGTTCAACTCACTTCCTCCATTTTTACACAATCCAAGACTTTCTGCCCTAGTGGCTTTTCCTGGCCACCCTTCAGGGGTCCAGCCCTTCTCCACAGTGCCAAGCCTTAGTTCTCTCTGAAACACGTTGGTCCTGGACCTTTCGCTACAACTGAGGCTGCACCTTTACTATGGCTACTCCTGGCCTCTCTGTAAGAACTCCAGCCCTACCATGTGGTGCAAAGCGTCAGCTGCTCTCCATGACCTCTTCATGCCTTCAACCCCTGTCATGTTCAGCCTCCAGCTTGAGATTTAGCCTTGCCCCCCTGTGTGCCCCTAGGAAATACTTCCCAGAAGATTCTGCCTCAGCGATTCTGGACTCTTAATAATCACAGATGATTCTTCAACACAGGTTTACACCCTTAGACTCTTAATCCAGAATGTCACACGAACAGCTCTGACAGTCTATGCTTTGTTCTAAAACTCACAAGCACACCTCCATAGTCTGCCTTTTCTTTGTGCATCCTTGTCTTCTAAGTTCTGTGGAACAGCTCCGAGCACTCGATGGCTTTTGTAGCACAGAATTCTTCCCAAACCCAACATGGTCAGATCTGTCCCAGCGACAGCCCCACTCCTCGGACACAGGTTTGTTGCAGTTGCTTTCTGTTGCGATAGACAAACAGTGTGACCAAAAGCACCTCAGGGAGAACAGCGTGTGTTTCAGCTTATAGGCTGAGTGAAGTTGGGCAGGAGCACAAGGAAGAAAACTGCAGGCAGGAACTGAAGTAGATTCCTTGGAAGAAAGCTGCTTTCTGGCTAGTTCCCAGGCCCTCTCCACTGGTTTTCTTATGCAGCCCAGATCCATCTGCCTAGCAATGGTGCCTCCCTAGTGGCTGGATCCTCCCTCATCAATTAGCAGTCAAGAAAATGTTCCACAGACACAACTACAGGTCAGTCTGATGTGACCAATTCTTAAGTTCCCTCTTATCAGGTGTGTTGAGTTCTGCCATTAACATATATTCGAAAGTATGAATGGCTTATACCATAGTTTAGTAAACGGAGTTCTGAATATTTTCCTGTGGCTTGTTACAAGAGTATTTACTATTTCTCCTAGTTTTTTTTTTTTTTTTGAAGACTTATTTATTACCTATACAGTGTTCTGCCTGCAGGCCAGAAGAGGGCACCAGATCTCACAATAGATGGTTGTGGTTTCTGGGAATTGAACTCCGTACCTTCGGAAGAGCAGCCAGTGTTCTTAACCTCTGAGCCATCTCTTGAGCCCTATTTCTCCTAGTTTTAAGCATTATAAATAGTCATGCCTTGTGTGATGGTCAACAGCAACTTCACACGTAACAATAGTCTCGTGATCCCATTGTAGCCAATGTAGAGTGAGTAAGCTATGGCACTAATAACTGAGGAGGTTGTTTAACAACACCCTGGCAGTATTTGAATTGCTAAGTGATGCATGGCTATAAATGTGGAGCGTTCTTTTTTCTCTACTTCATGTTAGAACTAGGTAAAACCAGAATGTTTGTTTGAAGAAACATACAAAAAAGTGACTTAACATAGGAACCAAAAAAAAAAAAAAATTGAAATTCACCATTAGCTTTCAAAATTTCTGGCACTTTAGATAGCCTTCCTCCACCTAAGTGGTATACTCTGCTCAGCTTTTCTATATCTGTTATTACACAGTGCGCTTAGTTCCTCAGGGGTGTGTGTGCGTGCGCGCGTGCGTGTGCTCGTGCATTCATGTTCACGTTGTGTGCTCGTGGACACTGGCAGTTGACACAGGTGTCTCCATCCACCCTCTGAGGTAGTTTGGGGAGAGCCTATCAGCTTATTCAGCTGGCTGGCTGGCCAACAAGCCCCTGCACTGCCCGTCCCTGCGGTTAGAGAAGTGCGCTCTCTGCCTACATTTCACCTGGATGATGGGGACTCCGGGTTCAGTCCCCGTGGTCCTGGGGCAGACATTTACCAGCTGACCATCTCCTTAGCCCGGGAGTCCCTACTTTTTAGGGCCTGTCTCCGTTCTGTGGCACAGGCTGGGAGACAGTGTTTAAAGGCTGTTTTTTCTTCTGTCTTCACAGAAAAGTAGCAGCTCTGAGTCGTTAAGTGAGAAGGGTTCCGAACTGAAGAAAAGCTTTGATGCTGTGGTATTCGACGTTCTTAAGGTTACGCCAGAAGAATACGCGGTAAAAATAGCGCGCTTCCCGCCTCTTGCTTTCCAGTTTTTGCATGAAGTTTATATACTTGCATTGTTTTTTATTCTGTTAGAAATTTGTGACCTCGGTGGAAAAGGCATGTGGTGTGTTTTTTTGTTTTTTTGTTTTTTTTGGTTTTCAAGACAGGGTCTCTCTGTGTAGCATTGGTTATACTGGAACTCGTTCTGTAGACCAGGCTAGCTTCGAACTCACAGAGATCCATCTGCCTCTGCCTTTCAAGTGGAGATGTTTGTTTTTTAAATCTGGATGTAGGAGTTGTTGGAGAATAGCACAAGTATAGAGCAAGAGAAGGCTGAGGTGGGAAGGAAGGACAGCTCTCTTTTTAAAGGGCTGCTTCTTGTTACCCCCTTCAGTTTGGTAACAGACTGGTAAGTACTTACTCACTACCTTTGCTGACTCACCCTGCCCCCTGATCAATATGTTCAGAAGTGTTTTGTAAACTCAGAAATAGAGAAATGTGATTTCTCAATCATTGGAATCTCATGAAATTATCTAGAAAATCTTTTTAACTGACATAAGTGTTCAATTATTTAGGTTTTGGTCTTTTGTTAACTGAATACACTGCTCTTTTGGTCTTGAGCCCACTTTAGCATTTCAGAAGAAAGGGTTCTTGTTGGTAGTATGTGTTTGCCTTCCCTAATGTCCACTCTGTTTTTATTACACTGTGGTGTGTGTGTGTGCATGTCCGAGAGCAACTTGAGAGTTGGCTTTTCTTTCTGCCTCCGTCACGTGGGGAGCAGGGCTTGAGCTCAGGTCAAGCTTTGTGCTGTCTAACACGTGACAGTGCCAAAATAGTTTTCTTTTCCAGCCTTACCTGGGAAGGAGATAACTAAGAGTAATTCATGGCACAAAGACCAAATTTTCAGTTTTCTTTAAGTCCGTAAAGAGGTTGTATTCAGTAATTTAGCATGCAGTGGATATTTTATTCATTTTGAATAAATTTTGTATCATAGGGTTCCAAAGAAATTTTATTCAAAACAAAACCCCTTTGTCTTTTAGGGTCAGATCACGTTAATGGATGTTCCAGTGTTTAAAGCTATTCAGCCAGATGTAAGTAGTTTTAAGACTATTCCTTTTAAATGCAGAACACGATAAACTACAGTATCTTAAGATGTCTAAGGAATTCAAATCATGTTTTATATTGATCATTGATTGTCTAAGCTTTGTCATGTAACTCACCTGTGTTTATTCAGTCCTTAGAGACTCAGATGGCATTCATCATGGTGCATTTGTCAGTCATAAATGGGATGTTTGAATCACGTGGACAAATTGATTTATTACTGAAGGAAGTAATAGGCTTACAGAAGTAAAATGATTTACTCGGGGCATTGAGGCTTTTTAATGGGAAGGTGAAAATTGGATGTAACTTAGTAATCTTTCCCTCTACCTAAATTTTATGTAATGTGACTATGTTAGTTTAGATTATGTAAAAAATTATTTTTAAAAATGTGGTGTTAGAGGTGTGGGTGCATGTGTTGAGGTCAATTCTCTCTGTCTACCTTCATGTGGAGCTTTAACTCGGGGCTAAGCTGGGCAGCTCCTGTGTTGATGCTTTTATTTTCCCTCACTAAAAATAAAGAGACTAATGTTACATATCTACACACTCACTATAGGCACATGTGTGTTTCTAGTTTATCGCTTTTAGGGCCTGTGAATAATAATGTTTTTGATTTGTTGATGAGGGAATAGTGACAGTTACCCTCTGTATACAGCTGTCTTAGGTTATTTTGTATTGCTGTAACAAAATGCCTGATGCTGGGTACTTTTTATAGAGAGGTTTATTTAGATAATAGTTTTAGAGATTGAAAGTCCAGAAGCAGGGGGCATTATTTGTTGAGTCTTGAGTAAAGGTTCCAGTGGCTGCCTCACAGTGTGGCGGAAAGGCGGAAGGGGCAGTGGCCATGTGCTAACCCTCAGGACTCTGCCTACGCTGAGACTCAGCCAGAGCACAATCAGGTCATAATAGATCGGTGTGACCATAGGCTCAGATTTGGGAAAAACAGGTTTTGCTTTTAGGGAGTAAAAATATAAACTTGATTATTATTATTTTGTCTCTCAAACAAGGCCTTTTTGATAATTCATGACTGGTTATTTGGGAATAACATGCGGTATTTATTGTGTTATATACACATCTGTAGTGGCCCTACATACTGTAATAACTAATATGTCTAGTATACCTGAAGTGAAAACAAGTTATTCTTGTGATTTTTTTTTTCAAGTAGGCTACTTAATGTGTTAGGATATCAAATGCCTGTCAAGTGAAGGGACACTGGCTGCATGATCCCGGAGCCCCTGTCATTTCCATAAGCCTGTGTTGTCTTTCTCTGTAATGCAGAGTGGTTCAGAAGTAGAGCTTTTGGGTTAATAGTAAGCAAAGAGGAGCTATGTACTTTATAAGTAACGGGCAGAGGGTGGTTTTTGTATTTAAATGTTCAAAACAAAAAAACCTTGGAGTATTCATGTCTGTTATCCTTGACAAAAACTGCCTTCCCCCACACCTTGAATTTAACAGTCTTACTAAGAATCACTTTTTCTTTTGAATAAAATACATTTATTATTGCTCTTTGACCTGACTCATGATAACCCCTGGGAAGCTGCTGTCATTTATTTAACCATGCATTCTGTGGTAGCCACATTATAAAGTAAAAAGGAAAGGTGAAATCAGTTGGTGATTTTATTTAACCTACAACATCCAAAGTATTTTAGCTTGTAATCAGGATAAAATTTGTATTGAGCTATTTATACTTTTCTCCCATGCTATGCTAAGTGTTTTGGATCTCAGGGTTGCGTGTAGATGACCGTATGTCTTTTTTACCTGGAGTAGCTTTCCTTCAGGTGCTCTGTAGGAATTTATGAGTAGGGGCTTGGATGTTGTATACCAGATTATTATCTGAAGGCATAGATGCCCCTTTTAAGAGTTTTTAAAGAATTTCTTGGGACATTGAACAATACTTTGTAAACCTTCAAATTTCCCTTGATTTCGCCTCCTCATTAAATTTAACACAGTCCCCTTGATTCCTACTCCTCCACCCTTTTGAGACAAGGTTTTAGGTAGCCCAGGCTAGCCTCAAATTCAGGATATATAGCTGAAGACATGGTCGTGATCATTCTTTGTCCACCTCCGGAGTGCTTTATATTAGAGGTGGATTATATTACAGGATTGTAGGTGCACACCATTGCACCCGGCACTCTTAATTTTGTTTTACCTTCATAAACCCCTAGTGTCTCTGTTATCAGCACCTCGATGTATTGTCAACACTTCTTTGATGCAGAGAAGAAACCATCTTTTCTCCACTGAATCACAGCAGTGCCTTCTCACTTGGCCTGTGTGTATCCTGGTCACTTTTCTTGTCAACAGAACCAACTTTTTGGAGGAAAGAGTTGAGCTTGTGGTTTGAGAGAGTCCAGCCTGCTGGGAAAAACATGTGGCGCAGAGCAGGTGACAGGCCACAGAGTGGAGAGGGGCTTGCACTCAGCTGGTCCGCCCGTCCCCAACCTTGATTCTCTCCAGTCCCTCAGCCCATGATATGGTGCTCCTCGCATTCAGAATGGGTGGATTTTCCTTTTAGTTAATTATTAGAAAATTCTCACAGACATACCTGAACACGTGCTTCACCAGTCTTCTGAGTGACTTTAAACCATGCCATTGACAGTACTGCTAAACCATCACGGTGAGCTTCCACTTTGTCTGGTTCCTGAAATCTGTTCTGTCAAGTAGCCATGATGAGCAACATTGAAATGTCCTCAGAGCACCTTTGCTCAAACCACCTCAACAATTTTGCTGCTTTGAGGATCAAGGAAAACCACAGGAGGATCTGAATCTCTTCATCATTTTGCCTTTTTCTTCCTTCTAAACATGTTTTCTAATTTTTCTGGCCTGGCAAAATGACCTTTTAGTCGTTCATCCTGGAGCCTGTGCCTGCCATGCGAACCATCTCTCCCTTCTTGAGTTGTCAGGTGAAGTTAGACTTTTTTGCCCCTCTGTAGCCTCTCCTAAGGCCTCACACTTGTCACGTGACAGTATCGTTTATGTTGTGGTTCAGTGCATATACCTAGCACCTGTTATGTGTTAGGCGCCACTTCGTTGCTGGAGATACAGTAGTGAACATGCACCAACATCTGCCCCCAGATTGTATGTTCCAGTGAAGTGAGTTAAACAGTGTTACATGAAAAATAAAGTGAGAGCATAGAATATGAGGTGCAGAGGGCTTCAGTTTTAGACACTGAACTGCATGGGCTACATCTGTGCAGGGATTCTAGGTAAAAATCCATGAATGGTCCTTGGTTGGAGTATCAGTATCAGAAAAGATCCCTGTGCTCAGATATTTTGGTTCTGTTGCTTTCCTTGTGGAGCTCCTGTCCTCTCTAGGTCTTACTCTCTCCTTCTCCTTTCCTAAGATTCCCTGCACTTTGCCCAAAGTTTGGTTATGAGTTTCAGCATCTGCTTTGATAACACTACTGGGTAGAGTCTTTCAGAGGCCCTCTGTGGTAGACTCCTGTCCCACTTTGTTTTCTCCTTCCTCCAATGTCCATTCTGTTTGTCTTTCTGAGTGAGGATTGATCCTCCTACCCAGGGTCCTCCTCCTTGCTCAGCTTCTTTAGGTGTACAGATTTTTATATGTTTATGTGTCTAATATCTACTTATAAGTGAGTGTATACTGTGTTTGTCTTTCTACTTCTGGGATACTTCACTCAGGATGATCTTTTCTAGATCCCACCATTTGCCTGCAAATTTCATGATTTCCTTGTTTTTAATTGCTGAGTAGTATTCCATTGTATAAATGTACCACAATTTCTGTATCTATTCCTCAGTTGAGGGGCATCTGGGTTGTTTCCAGGTTCTGGCTATTACAGATAAAGCTGCTATGAACATGGTTGAGCAAATGTCCTTATTGTGTACTTGAGTGTATTTTGGATATATGTCTAGGAGTGGTATAGCTGGATCTTGAGGAAGCACTATTCCTAATTGTCTGAGAAAGCATCAGATTGATTTCCAAAGTGGTTGTACAAGTTTACATTCCCACTAGCAATGGAGGGAGGGTTCCCCTTTCTCCACATCCTCTCCAGCATGTATTGCCACTTGAGTTTTTGATCTTAGCCATTCTGATGGGTGTAAGGTGAAATCTCAGGGTTTTTATTTGTATTTCCCTGATGACTAAGGACGTTGAGCATTTCTTTAAGTGTTTCTTGACAGTTTTTGTATACTGTTTTGTCTGACTTTTATTAAGAACTCAGTATTAGAATAAGAAAATGAATATACTGTTTAGGAAGTGCTCAAGGAGTGGAAGTTTTAACAAATTGATAAAAATAGCTATTGGGAAAAGCGTAACATCAGACACTCTTGTTAGACAATGGTCTCATTGAACTCCAAGGTCACTTTAAACCAGCTATCATAGATAGGACATGTCATGTGGCAAAAGAATGCCTGTAACTTTACTGTCAATATTAAAGACATATAAGCTAATGGAACTATAAGTTAGATTTCTATGTCCTGGCCAGTCCTGTTAAAGCCCTTATGTGTCATGGCACCCAAGAGAACACAATCCAGGAGTAGACTGTATTATTCCTGTTTAGTTGCTGTGTTTTCCCAAGTAGAGGTATTGTTTAATAATATGTGCTGTAAATGATGCTTTCTACGCTTAGCATTGTTAGCACCCTTCCATGATACGGGTACTTAAGTGTATTAGTCACTGGGCTGTAGAGCACAAACATCTTGGAAATTACTGCCACTGAATAGTTTCTGAAATGTCACTTATGTCAAAACTCTTGCTACTAAGACATTTTAGGGGCTGGAGAGATGGCTCAGAGGTTAAGAGCACTGGCTGCTCTTCCAGAGGTCCTGAGTTCAATTCCCAGCAACCACATGGTGGCTCACAACCGTCTGAAATGAAGTCTGGTGCCCTCTTCTGGCATGCAGGTGTACATGCAAACACACATTGTATACATAATAAATAAATAAATCTTTAAAAAATAAAAGAGTTTAGAAAACCTTTCTAGCTATGTTATCATTTAACATAGTTGTTTTTTATTAGCATAAAGATATATGTATA